TTAAATCCAATAATAAAGCACTTGATTATTCCCATAGCACCCATGTAACTAAGAAATCTATGGGCATATCTTTCCATGGCGGTTATTATTATAGTTCACAGCTATGTCAAACTACTGAAGGCCATTCTACCTGTGCTGGCTAGTTTTATGTCAACTTGAGATGTAAAAGAAAGTGAAAGCAGCTAACTTTCAGGAACTTCCAGGAACTGTCAAACTTCCAGGAAGACCTGCCCCCTTCTAGGGACCAGCTATAAAGTTTCAATTGCATGATAAAGGGATGGACTGAAAATTCTCAGCCTAGTATTAGATTTCTTTGCTTTTGTGTTGATGAAAATGTTTTCCTGAAAATTTTAGGAAAATTGCTTTTTTTTCCTCCCTGCATGGTCCACCCAGAGAAACATTTGAAGATAGTCAGAGGGTGGGGTTTTGTTTCTCAAAGTTGAATACTGCTGCCTTAATATCGAAAATTGATATAAAATGCTGTACAGCTTCTTAACAAGCTTATTCACTAAAAGCATCCTCTCTGCTACTTCTGACTAACAGGAAAATTATGAGCACTATATTATGTCATTGACTTTGGTCAATAGGCAATACCTGAGGACAGGACAAACATCTGCTAACAAATATTTTTTTGTCCTAAACTGTGAGTTCTTGTATCTATAAAATTAGTATAAATTTATAATTATCCCCTTGCCTACTCAGCTTCTCTGGGGTCGAGGACTATAGGCTCATTATCCTTCAATTTACAGATAATATCCACTTATAAGTGAGTACATACTATGTTTATCTTTCTGGATCTGAATTCCTCTCTAAGAATGGTTTTTTCTAGTTCCATCCATTTTCATGAAAATTCCAAGATGCCATTGATTTTTACCACTGATTTTTTTTTACCATTGATTTTTACCACCACTGTATAAATGTACCACATTTTCTTTATCTATTCTTCAGTTGAGGGGCATCTAGGTTGTTTCCAGGTTCTGGCCATCATAGATAATGCTGCTATGAACATACTTGAACAAATGTTCTTGTACTATGATTGAGCACCCTTTGGGTATATGCCCATGAGTGCTATTGCTAGGTCCTGGGGTAGGTTGATACCCAGTTTCCTGAAAACCCACCATACTGATTTCCATAGTGGTTGTCCAAGTTTGCATTCCCACCAGCAATGGAGAAGTGTTCCCCTTACTCACATCTTCTCCAGCATAAGCTATCATTGGTGTTTATTTCTTAACCATTCTGACTGGTGAAAGACAGAATCTTAGAGTCATTTTGATTTGCATTTTCCTGATGACTAAGGATGTTGTGCATTTCGTTAAGTGTCTTTTGGCCATTTATGGTTCTTCTTTTATGAATTCTCTGTGTAGACATGTACCCCATTTTAAAATTTGATATTTGGTGTTTTGAAGTATAATTTCTCGAGTTCTTTATATATTTTGGAGATTAGTCCTCTGTCTGATGTGAAATTGGTGAAGATCTTCTATCATTCAAAAAAAATTTATAATTATCTTGTGTACTGTTTTAAGCAATGATAAAACAAAATGCGTACATGGCTCACACACATTTCTGCAAATGCATAGTAAATCCCAGTGTCCTCACAGATTATCTTTTATGAGTAATGGAAATTTTTTCATATGTCAGTCTGATTGTAAAAGAGAATGAGTCTGTGTAGCAGTCTTGTTCTGTGCTGTTCCTTCTTTACTCTGTTATATACTGTTGTCTGTAGTATCTGGGTAGCAAAATCAGATGCTAACAAGGCTGGAAGAGCTCATACTCTGATGTGGGAGTGATTTCTTATTAATAAAGAAACTGCCTAGGCCCCTTGATAGGCCCACCCTTAGGTGGGTGGAGAAAACAGAAGAGAATTCTGGGAGAAAGAAGCTGAATGAGGAGTCGCCATGATTCTCCCGCTCCAGACAGACACAGGTTAAGATCCTCCCTGGTAAGCCAGCTCGTGGGCTACACAGAATATTAGAAATGGGTTAGAACAATATGTAAGAGCTAGCCAATAAGAAGCTGGAACTAGCCGGGCCAGGCAGTGTTTGAAAGAATACAGTTTTCGTGTAATTATTTCGGGCATAAGCTAGCCATGCAGGCGGCCGGGTGCCAGGGGTGCAGCCTCGCCGCTCCTATTTCAACAATACTCAGGTTTGGTGAAATCAAATTCTCTGACCTCAAGTTGGCTGCAGAGCAGATGTGAGGGTTTGCCTGGGAGCTACTTAGCACATCTAGGATTCTGGTTATCCATAGGATAATTATATATTTTTAAAAGGAATATACAAAAGTATAGAGATGTTTACAATTATTAAGGCATCAATGAACTTTATTTAAATTTTTATGTTATGATTGAATAGAAGGACAGATGATTCCATTCTTATAAAATATTCAGTAAATTAAATAACAAAGAATTTTATGGAAAAACTTGGAATTCATTCTTTGGCATTATATCTGACAGTGAAACTGTTTGAGTGGAATGTTATAGTGTTCTGGGTTTCTTTTCTTTTTAATAAATAGTTACATTTATCTATCTATCTATCTATCTATCTATCTATCTATTTTACATTCCCACCACAGCTGTTCCTCCCTCCACTCCTCCGAGACCCTTTACTTACCCCCACCCCTGTTCTTCCACCCCTCAATCCACTCCTCCTGTTTCTAATTAGGAAAAGACCAGCCTCCCAAGGCTATCAACACAACATGGCATATCAAGTTTCAATAAGACAAGCACCTTCTATGTATTAAGGCTGGGGAAGATAGCCCTGAATGAATATTATCTCATATGGATATAAGGATAATGGATAATCTTTACACCCATACGATGATTATCTCATGTAGATAATGAGATAATATGAGGAGTAGGGTCCCAAAAGCCAGTGAAAGTCAGAGGCAGAGCCTGTTTCCACTACTGGGAGTTCCACAAGAGAACCAAGCTACACTGTGGCGGAGAATCATTTAAACTGTGTTGCATTAACATGTTTCTGCCCCAGAATATTACTTTAACTGTGTACAGATGAGTTACATTTGTTTAATTATGAAAACCTGTTAACCTTGCCTGCCTAAGGCATCTGAGTAGCCTAATAAAGAGATGTACAAGCAATAGCTGGGCAGTGAAAGGATAGACAGGACTAGCATGCAGAGATAGTAAATAGAAAAAGTAATCTAGGCTGGAGAACAAAAGGAGAAGGATGGAGGACAAGGAGACAGAGGCTCTAGGGGTCAGACAAACAGATAGATATTGAAATAGCAGGAAAGTAATACATATAAAAGGAAAGGAAGGTAAAAGGCCCTGAGGCAAAATGTAGATTAGAGAGAAACAGGATTATTTAAATTAGAAAAGTAGGCAAGGAATAAGCTGATCTGAGGTCAGATATTCATATATAATAATAATTTCCAGTCTTCTTTTGATAAGTTTCCAGTTTTCATTTGGGAACTGACTGGCCTGCAGATGGAAAGAAAAGGTTGGCTATGCTACACAGCCGTCACTTATATGCACAGGGCCTAAGTCAGTCCCATGCAGGCTTTCTGGTTGTCATTTCAGTCTGTGTGAGCACCTATCCGCTCAGGTTAACTGATTCTATGAGTTTTCTGGTGGTGTCGTTGGGCCCTCTGGCTCATATAATCTTTCTTTTTCCTCTGCTGCAGGATTCCTGAGCTCTGCCTATTGTTTAACTAGGGATGTTTACATGAGCAGATATGGAGGGGTGTGTTTTGCACTCCAACTCTCTAATATGGAATCTTCTGGAACAAACATGACTATTCATTCACTGGTTCTTATGCTTTGGTTTTCAGGGAGTCATTAATTCGTGTAACCACGTTTCTCTGCTTTAGAACTGCTATCTTTAATCTGTTAAACTTGATTTTGTAGGTCACATGGCAGTGTCAAATTAAGCTCTTTGTGATACAAAGATCTCAGGCAAGTTCCTACACAGAAAATTCAGTCTTCTCTCCCTAATAGATGAAGGAGATAGAGAGTATTGTGGTACATCTCAGACAGGGGAAGCACCCTTCATCAATATGTAAGTAACAGAAAATTGATTATCACCTTTCAACTCTCTCAAAAGATTTCTTGTACCACAGTTCTTGATGGGAAGTTGAGGCAGGGGACTGGAGTTGAGGAGACTGGCACAAGTATCCACATATTAAAGCAGAAAGACTGGGTATCATTTTCTACCAAAGCTATATATAAGGGACACAATACACATAAGGATTCCTGGTGCTACGTAAATATTTTATACAGACTCAGAACTACCCCTGTGGTTTATACTGAGCAGCTGTCTTTTTCCAGCTCACTAGCTTACTTCCATCCCTGGAGTACTCTTGCTTATTTATTTATTTATTTATTTATTCATTCATTCATTCATTCATGTAAACAAACTGCCTTTATTTCTATCACAATTCATCTATCTCTGATCCAATTCTTTCCCTAGCAGAGGAACCTAGAAATCTCAACTGGTACCCCAATATTCTGATCTATGCCTCTAATAGCCTTGAAACTTATAAATCAACTCACCCACATCAGTCTTTCCTTTTTCTTTGTGGCTACACGCACCTCTGTGTTGGGGGCAGGGGTTCTATGGATCTGTGTCTGTGTGTAGGTGGTGCATGTTTACAAGTTGAGTGTGGACATTGGGTATTATACTATAAATTTTATTGGTAAATTGTCATGTGTTGCTTGTGCTTGCTGAGAGAAGGCTCTGTGAACAAGATGGATCTATTTTGTCCCACAGATGACACTGTTTATTCCCAGTCCTCCAAGACTCCTTGTCCAAGAGTAGGCTAGTACACTGGAACTGAGACAGAGAAAAATGAAAAATAGCAAACAGCTAAAGGTACTAAAAACAATGGAATTCTGAGAACATGTATGGGAAAAAACCATTTCCTACCAGGGTTACTATTCCTTAGTCCATGCAATAGAAATGCTCACAGTGAGAAACAGACACTGAAAGTTCTTACATACAGATGGTCTCCTAGGGACATCTGGATCAGGAACTCCAGCATGACTTCCAGCAAAGCCTCTCCAGTCATTTCTATTAGATGCTGCGAACACCCAAGTTAATGATGTTTTTCTGTCTATCTGATACATTGAATTTCATCTTTTACTTAGCAGCCTTACACAAAATCTCTGTCTAAGATGATATGTCAGTAACTCCAGTAGGTCTTCTCAACTAGGCTCGGCTAGTCACTTCGGAAGTATGTTACAAATTCCAGATTTGATAACATTTTGTTGTCCATGTGCTGTCTGCTAATTGTTCCTTTACTTTCACCTCTTGTAGACTTACTAAACTCATTCATTTGCAATCTACAGTACAGTTATCAGAGAAAATGCCGAGGAAAGAATGAGGGTTCCCTCTATCACTTCCACCTTGTTTGGGAAACAGTTTCTAACTGAGCTTGGAGCTCACTATTGTCTAGATGGGCTTCTCAATGAGCTCCTGGAATCTTCTGTCTGTGTCTGTAAATGCTAGGATTAGAGGTAGCTCTAACATATCCATCTTATTATACAAACTCTGAGGATCCCAACGGGGACCATCAGGCTTGCGTGTTTGCAGTTTACCCACTGATCAACCCATATCTAACATCTTTTCTTTCTTTTGTTAATTTTCTCAAATATTTTGTTATAGTGAGAGAAAAGAATAGAGGAAAAACACTGATTGACACAGTCATTTTAAATCCTAGCTATTCTTTATTTTTTGTAATCCAAGCTGTTCTTTAACACTTGCATTGAGCCTGGCTAAAAACCTCATAGCATAGGCTAGGTCAGAGGACTTTGCAGCCATCTCACAAGATGTTTAGATATTAAGTAAAAACACTAATCTCCTAGTATTATTTAATGCAAGGAAGTTAGGAAATTGAAATAAAGACCTGTATTATAGTCAAAAATATAAATGGAACCAATTCAAAAATCTCCATAGCAGTTCTGAAACGGGCAATGTCTGGCTTTGGTCTGTCTCTTTGTTATATTGCTGTATTTGTTGTACTGATTTTTATTTTCAACTTTCATCCAATTCCTGTTCTTATGAACATAAACCTTACTAGTATGATCTTCAATCATGCAAGAACAAAACTGAGTATATGACAATAATACAGATTATTAATTCAGGCATTGTCCAGAATCTATGCTACAATTTTTACTCAAGATTCCATCCACCTGTTTTATTGTAATTTCTCTGGAAAACTTCAGGTGTCATTCTGCATATGCATAAAATAAAAGTTGCACTGAAGAAAACATGTAAGGGACCATGATAACTTCTCACAGAGGAACTAATGGGGGCAGAAGATCAGATCCAAAGGGACTTGGAATAGATAAGCAAGGTTGTGGGGGAAGCCCTTTAATGAGAAAGAGAAGAAAAAGAAGAAGAAGAAGAAGAAGAAGAAGAAGAAGAAGAAGAAGAAGAAGAAGAAGAAGAGGAAGAGGAAGAGGAAGAGGAAGAGGAAGAGGAAGAGGAAGAGGAAGAGGAAGAGGAAGAGGAAGAGGAAAGAAGAAAGAAGAAGGTAAAGATAGAACCTAAAAGTTATCTCAGCCAAAGAGAAAGTGAGGGAATTGGTAGTAGCCAGGAAACACTCTTGATCATGGGTGTCATCCTCAGAAGCCAAAGACAGCTGGGGTCACAGGTAGCTTCAAGAGATTACTGCCAGCTTGCACGAGCATGGGGATGGAGGAACCTGTAAGGAGGGGAAACAAAAGTCAGAATTGCAGGACAGGGGAAGAGAGAGAGGATTTTCTTCAGTTTTTCTTTCTTCTTTTTTCTTTTTTTCTATTTCTTTCATCCCCTTCAGCCCTGATTTACCTTCCTGCACTACCCCTGGCCTTTCCTCTTTCTTGTTCTGATTCTCCTTTAGTCTATCCTGTCCAGAGGAACAGGGCAGCAAGGATACAATTAACATTCAGGCGTACTGGCTTCACTTCTAGGGTTAGTCTTACTCAGGTAAACATCTATATCTATGGTCCTTCCCTCTGCTCAGCTTGTTCCAACCACCAAGGTCTTATTTTATCTAATCTTAAAAAGGAAGGATTAGCACAGGGGACAGACAATGCTCTGAGACCGAATGGTAGGGGCAACAATGGTCTCTCTAGTACTCACCCTCTGCTACACATACAGGCATAGCTCTTGAGACACTGATGGAAAAAGAGAAAGAAAGGAGGGGGTTGTGCTCCTACCTGCATGGTCATGAAGCCAGGCCACAGCCTTCCTTTCCAGAAGTTCCCATTCACACTTCAAGTCCTCGCTGTTGGCATGCAGCCAGAGTACAGCCAGTACTGTGGCCCAGGTTGAGGGGTCCCCATCCTGCAAAAGAAACAAAAGCTTCTGTCATGCTCCATGCAGGGCAGGAAGCTACTCAAGAGAAAGCAGATTTACTATCTATTTCCTTCCTCATCACTCCCTAACCTACTGCTACATGGAACTTCCTGGCCCATCCTTACCATACACACTGACAGACCCTTAAGACAACATTCCATTACCACTTAGAAAAGGGCTGAAGTTGTAAATCCTGTGCACCCATCACCACATTCTATAAGACACGCCAAACACTCAGTGCATGGATAGTTAGACTGTACTCAGAGGAAAAATTGTACATTTGACTTCTTTTATGGTATTGTGCTCATGAGTTTTTCTTTGTATCCAGACTTGCCAATAAACAAACAAAAAACTGTCATAGGAAGAATCAATAACACATTTCAAAAGATAAACACGAGCAGGGCAGGGGTGCTGCACGCCTTTAATCGCAGCACTGAGGAGGCAAAGGCAGGTGGATCTCTTTGAGTCTGAGATCAGCCTGGTCTATAAGAACTAGCTCCAGAACTGGCCCCCAAAAAATCCCTGTCTCAGTATATAT